CCCCAACGACACCCAGCTCCTGGATCTGAGGCGCAACCACTTTCCCTCGGTGCCCCGCGCGGCCTTCACGGGCCTGTGCCACCTAGTGTCGCTGCACCTACAGCACTGCGGCATCGCTGAGCTGGAGCCAGGTGCCTTGACAGGTCTGGACCATCTGGTCTACCTCTACCTCTCTGACAACCAGCTCTCGGGCCTGAGCGCTGCAGCCCTCCAAGGGGCCCCCCACCTCGCCTACCTGTACCTGGAGCACAACCGCTTCCTGAGGGTCCCGGGGGCTGCTCTGCGTGCCCTACCCAGCCTCTTCTCTCTACACCTCCAGGACAATGCGGTGGACCGCCTGGCACCTGGGGATCTGGCGGGAGCGAGAGCTTTGCGCTGCCTTTACCTGAGTGGAAATCACATCAGCCAGGTTTCAGCTGGGGCACTGGGTCCAGCTCGGGAGCTGGAGAAGTTGCATCTTGACAGAAATCAGCTACGAGAGGTGCCCACAGGAGCCTTGGAGGGGCTGCCTGCACTCACAGAGCTGCAGCTCTCAGGGAACCCATTCAGGGCTCTGCAAGATGGGGCCTTTCAGCCTGTGGGGCGGTCACTGCAGCAGCTTTTCCTGAATAGCAGTGGCCTGGAGCAGGTGGGTGCTGGATGAGGTACAGGCAGGAAGCACAGTCCATAGAAGTACACTGCTTCAGCAAGCATTTTAGGCAGGGCATGAGAACCCTAAGACAAATCAAACATTCCGTTCCTCTCAGCCCTTAGGGAGTTCAGTTGTGGGTGTCAGGCCAGGTGCAGCTAGAGGCTTGCCAAGGGGCATGGAAGAACTTGAGTTTGAGCAGTTACCTGCAGTTTAGAGTTCCTAAGAGGCATGGTAATTATAAGGGTGGGATTGGGGGCGGGGGCTGGAGAGCACAGGCTGCTCTTCCAGAGGACCCAAGTTCAATTCCCAGTACCCTCGTGGCAGCTCACAACTGTAATTCCAGTTCCAGGGAATCTGATACCTTCACACAGACATACACACAGGCAAAACACAAATGCATATAAAATAAAATCTCTTTTAAAAAATTAAGGGTGGGGTTCAGGCCTAACCGAAGGCAGATGGGCATTGTGTGACTTGGAATACGATCTGGGTTTTAACCTCAGTACTGTCTTTCCAGCATGAACCAACCTCCTTGGGCCTTCCATCTTTTCTCTGCTGGAGAGAGGCTGGAATTCCCTGCAGACCTAGGGCAGCCCACCTGGCAGGAGCTCACAACAGGGCTTGGCATTTCCTTGCAGATTTCCCCCATGGCCTTCTCAGGCCTGGAAACAGGGCTCCGGAACCTGTACCTGCAGAAGAACCAACTTCAGTTCCTGCCTGCGCTGCTGCGGCTCAGTGGGCTGGAGCTCATTGACCTCAGTGGTAATCCCTTCCACTGTGACTGCCACCTGCTCCCACTTCACAGGTAGTTACCTCCCACCAGATGTATACCAGCTGCTAGAAATCAAATCCAGCTATCTCCCTGGAGGTGCCATGGCTTTGCACCACTAGCCAGCTTAGGGTGTCTGTCAGGTTCTCCAAAGCTAAGCTTGAATGCCCCCTTGCCAGTCATTGCTATTCCTGGCTACCCAGGATGATGTTCCAGTTAGTGTCTCTGTTCCTGTGATAAACACCTTGACCAAAAAGCAACGGGGGGGGGGGAGCTGGGCATTAAAGGGTGGCACAGCTTTTAATCCCAGCACTCAAGAGGCAGAAGCAGGCAGATCTCTGTGAGTTGGAGGCCAGCCTGGTTTATACAGACCAGGCCAGCCAGGGCTACATAGTGAGATCCTATCTCAAAACAGTGAGGAATTTGCACAGGCCTTAAATCCCAGCATTTGGGAAGCAGAGGTAGGTGGATCTGAATTGGAGGCCAGCATGATCTACAGAGCAAGAGGACAGCCAGTACTAAACAGAGAATCCCTATCTTGAAAAACAAAAAACAAAAACAAAACAGCAACTTGACATGGGGTCAGGAGCCAAGGCAGGAACTGCACTGAAGCAGAGACGAAGGGGAACACTGCTTACTGGCTTAAGTTTGCTTTCTCATACAACCCAGGACCACCTACCTCAGAGTTGGCACTGCCTAGAGTAAACTGAGCCCTCCCACATGAATTATTAATCAAGATAATGCGCTATAGACATGCACACAGGCCAATCTGGTGGAGGCAATTCCCAACTGAGGTCCCTTCCTCCTCGATGGGTCCAGTTTGAGTCAAGCTAAAGAGAACTCAGTGGCACAGGTGGACTGAATTTTTACCCCTTCATAAAGTTGAGACGTTTTCCTTGTTTGGTGTACCGGGACCTAAGAAATACACAAGTGCATTCGGCACGATTACATAAAAAAAACCAAGAAGCTGGGTGTGGTGACCATGCCTGTAATCCCAGCACTTGGGAAGTGGAGGCAGGAGGATCGGGAGCTTGAGGTCAGCCTGAACTAAACAAAAACAAAGGCTGGGAACAAAGCTCAGTTGGTAGATTGCATGAAGCCTGGGGTTGGTGCACATAGTGCAAGCATCTGTAACACCAGCACTCAAGTGAGACTGGAAGATCACAAGTTGAGGTCCACCTGGGCCACATGAGACCCTGTTTTTACTGTTTTAATAGAATAACAGGAATCTGGAGTCAAGCAAGCCTAAGGTCTAGTCAGTCCAGGCTCTGGCGTTTTACCAGATGAGTCCCGCAGCCTCCCTTTGTTCATCTGTGAGAAGCATGTGCAGTCTCATCCACACCATCGTGGCTGCTGGAGAACTAAGTAAAATAGTAAAATTAGTGGATAGAAACTGATGTTAGAGTGCCTGGTACACAGTAAGCACCACCACTGTGTTTATCCCTTTTATGCAGAAGCCACTTGAGGGTGAGCCACCCAGGTGGAAATCTCAGTAGTGTCCTTTTGTACACTGCCTCCAAGTTCCTGACCCCTCCTCATACTCCTCAGGAAATCTTTCACCCATGCACATCCATACAGAGCTCACCATCTCAATTTCCTCCTCAGGTGGCTCACTGGGCTGAATCTGCGGGTGGGAGCCACCTGTGCCACCCCTCCCAGTGTCCGTGGCCAGAAGGTGAAGGCTGCAGCTACTGTCTTTGAAGCTTGCCCAGGCTGGACTGCCAGGAAGGCCAAAAGGACATCAACCTCCAGGTTCAGTGCCAGGAGAAGCCTCAACAGAAGACACTGAAGAACAGACAAGGTTGGCCCTTTGGTGGGAGGGAGGTCTGGGTCCCAAAGCTGCTTGGTCCTATTGCATGATGCAGTAATGTTCCTTTCATTGGATGCCACAACGTATTTATCCCAGTCCTGTTTTTACTGGATCTACTCTGACTGCACCCTTTGCCATCCTGAACTCATAGACTGTCAGGAGAATAGAAGTTCAGTTGTGCTGGCTCTGCCTCCCACCACCTGTCAGTCACAGGTTGAGATGTCACTTCATGTGATATTCAGGTCCTTGAATGTTGGGGGTCATTCGAGGGGACCAACAGGCAGCACTGGAACTCATGGAACACAGTTGGGTGGCTGGCAAAGCCATGTGTGAGTGAGCCTTGTGTTCTGAAGGCCTCATGCTGTTATTGAGCATAGCTGGTTGCTGCCTTCATGGTCACTACATCCCTTCTATCTATGGGTTGTATGAAAACTCTCAGGGGATTTCTAAATCCTCACTGGGCAGTGTTACTGGAACAGATTAATGATTCAACCACAACCCTCAGAAAAAATTCAGACTGTTCAGATTGTTAGTAAGGCTAGGTTAAGATATTTTTGTTAATAGCTTTGAGGTGAAAAACCTGGGGAAACAATCTAAAGTTCAGAAAGGCATATAGTTGAATGAGGACCTCGTAAAGGTCAGAGAAACAAGAACAAAGCAGCCGGTTATTATTAGCTGATGTGCCTTTCTACAATGGGTTGGCGGTCAAAGATGATGATTCCTTGTGCCTATTTCTGCTCTCAGCTTCCTGATATGAAAACCTGTTGATAACTGGGTATGCATCCCAAGGATTTAAAGTAGAGCTGTTTTTCATATGCAAAGGTTTGGATCTGTGATTCTTTTAAGACTTTTATTGTTTTTGTTGTTGTTTTCGAGACAGGGTTTCTCTGTGGCTTTGGAGGCTGTCCTGTAACTAGCTCTTGTAGACCAGGCTGGTCTCGAACGCAGAGATCCACCTGCTTCTGCCTCCCGCGTGCTGAGATTAAAGGTGTGTGCCACCACCACCTGGCCTCTTTTTTTTTTTTTTTTTAAGATTTATTTATTATGTATATAGTGTTCTGCCTGCATGTATGCATACCTGCAGGCCAGAAGAGGGCACCAGATCTCATAACTGATGGTTGTGAGCCACCATGTGGTTGCTGGGAATTGAACTCAGGACCTTTGAAAGAACAGGCAATGCTCTTAAGCACTGAGCCATCTCTCCAGCCCCTTTAAAATTTTTTTTAAGATAAGACTTCTTATAGTCTTTAATAAATAATGATTGGACATTTCTTTGTAACTGCAAAATTCAACCTGCTGGTAAAAGAACTGACTGAGAAAAATACCTTCCTTGCTTATACTCTGTTGCAAGTTGCCTGAACATGAATGTATGTGGGTTCTTGGGACAACTTGTTTTTCACATAAAATGTTTGACCATGAAGGGATATGGGAAACATGTTTTTTTGTTTGTTTGTTTTACTTGTAGTCATTGTAATCATTCACTTAAAAAAAATAGAATGTAGGGGCTGGAGAGATGGTTCAGAGGTTAAGAGCACTGGTTGCTGAGTTCAATTTCCAGCAACCACAGGGTGGCTCACAACCATCTGTTATGAGATCTGGTGCCCTCTTCTGGTGTGCAGATATACATGGAAGCAGAATGCTATATACATAATTAATTAAAAAAATATTTAAAAATGATTTATTTATTTATTTTTTGGTTTTTCAAGACAGGGTTTCTCTGTGTAGCCTTGGAGCCTATCCTGACACTCGCTCTGGAGACCAGGCTAGCCTCGAACTCACAGAGATCTGCCTGCCTCTGCCTCCCGGGTGCTGGGACTAAAGGCGTGTGCCCCCAACGCCTGGCTTTTTTTTTTTTTTTTTTCAATAAATCATTTTTTAAATCGGGCGTTGGTGGCACATGCCTTTAATCCCAGCACTGGGAGGCAGAGGCAGGAGATCGCAGCCAGCCTGGTCTCCAGAGCGAGTGCCAGGATAGGCTCCAAAGCTACATAGAGAAACCCTGTCTCAATCCCCTCCCCCCAAAAAAAGAAATAGTAGAGAAGGAAGACATCAGGGAAGCAGAAGGGAAAGAAACACCAGGGTAGAAGAACAGAACTAAAAAGAATAGAGTAGAACAAAGACAGAAAGAACAATAAAATAAAGAAGCAACTTTTATCTCTCAGAAAAGAAGTCTCTGTATTTTTCTCGCCAACTCTGCATCTTGTTCCCAGTCTCTCTGACCTGCAGAAGGCTTACCCTCTGAACTCGAACTCTTAGTTATAGCAAAGTGTCTTGATGTATCAGTGAAGGAAGGCTGAGAGGCTGCTGGCTGCTGCGGGATGAGCATATAGGAGGCCCTGATACAGACAGGTAAGGCCGAATGTGGAGTCCAAAGGGAGGAGCTTACGTCACAGAGGTGGCATGTAAGAATAGACTCTGCAAGCCGTGCATTGGTGGCACATGCCTTTAGTCCCATCACTTAGGAGGCAGAGGCAGGCAGATCTCTGTGAGTTCGAGGCCAGCCTGGTCTCCAGAGCGAGTGCCAGGATAGGCTCCAAAGCTACACAGAGAAACCCTGTCTCGAAAAAACCAAAAAAAAAAAAAAAAAAAAAGAATAGACTCTGCAGGTTGGACTTCATTCAGCAAGGACCTTGTCTCATATAAGTATACTGCACACATGTGCAGACCCGGCACTCAGGCGGTGAAAGGCCAGAAGTTAAGGTCATCCTGGGCCACATAAGACCCTGTTTTTGTTGCTTTAATAAAATAACAAGAATAACCAAGTAAGCCTAAGGTCAAGTCAGCCCAGGCTCTGAAGTTTCACCATGATCACCACACTCCCTTTACTCATCTGTGAAAAGGATGGGAGTCTGGGGAGGACAGGCCAGGAATGAGGCCAAATGTGCACCCTCTTTTGTCAGGCGGTCTTATGCTCCAGACAGCTATAGGCACACTTAGGCCATTTTCGCCTCCCTCCCAGCATCCTCTCCTGGGGTAGATGTCCACTCACCTGGTATCACCTCACCTTTTTTTTTTTTTTTTAAGATTTTATTTTTAATTACATGTTTATGTGCACATTTGTACCCATGGAAACCAGAGGCACAGGCTCTGTAGCTCAAGTTACAGGTGCTTATGAATGGGTGCTGGGAATCAAACCTGCCTTTTGCTGTGGTCTTCAACCTACTTCCAAACCTATTCACCCTTTGAGGAATCAGGCTATGACAAAGGCCTCTCTCATGAGAGGGTGGGCTGTCTGTAGCAGGTGAGTCAGAACTGAGTTCTCTCTGAACCTGCCCAGTGTGTCACCTCAGGGATGAACCCAGTCTGGGTCCTGAGCAAAGCCAGTCAGTACATCTCAGGATGATGGTGCAGACTGACCAGTGCAAAACATGGCTATGAAACACAGCACAGCCACAGCCCAACAGCACACGGAGCCACGGCTGCACTGTTTCTCCAAAACACAGAGAACAGAAAGGGCCAACTGCATGAGCCCCCTAGTTTCCCAGATGTTACTGGAGGGCTAGATGACCAGTTTCAAGAGTTTCTAACTGGGGCCGGGTGCATGCCTTTAACACCAGCACTCAGCAGACAGAGGCAAGTGGATCTCTGAGTTCGAGGCCAACCTGGTCTACATAAAAATTAAAGATCCTGTCTCAAAAAAAAAAAAAAAAAAAAAAAAAAAAAAAAAACCAACCAAAACAAAACAAACACCCCCCCACCACAACAAAAAGTATGTGACTGGGAAAAACAAAAGCTCAAACTTGATGTAAAGACAGCTGACCCAAGAGGGAATGGAAATATTAGGTCCAACCCAAGCTAGGCTCTCGAGAAGCATGAACTCAGGCAGGATCCCAGAGCCACGCTACTGTCTGATCCTGTATCTGGAAGCAAGTAGCCTCTTGGGGCACAGGTCCCTGCAAGTAATCCCAACTGTTCTTTTAAAAAAGGAAGTCAGTGTTCCTGCCAACCCTGAGGTCAAGGCCACTCACAAGTTACCCAAACCTACTACCCTGGTCACTTCTCAGTTATTTGCCAAAGTGGGGGCCTAGGGCACTAGGGCAGAACAGGGTGCTCAGGAGACATAAGACCCTCGATCTGTTTTAGGCAGAGGTAGCTCTGTTCACACCTAGTGTCCATAAGGGTGTCCTACTCACAGCTGCTCTCTAACTCCACCACCTGCATGGGTAGACATGTGGATCAGTCCGGTTTTCCAGTGTGCTGAGGTGCAGCGAGTATGCCAGCTTAGAACAAGCTGCCCAGTCCTCAGGCCTAGTCCGAGGGCAGAGGTGGGCCCTAGAAGACGAGGCTGTCCATTCATTGCTCAGCAGGAAAGCTGGGCCTCCTTTCTGCTCCATGGCCAGGCCTGGCTTCACCTAGGGTCCAGGCTGACACCAGGGAAGGCTCAGTTGTCCCTCTCCTGCTTGATGCTCTCAATGGGAAGAGGCAACTGAGGACTCGGTGACCGGTCGGGCGAAGGCATGTCCTGGTGCTCCTCCTTTACACACACAGCAATAACTGGGGAGAGGGAGGGTAGTGGGGGAACAGAGAATGAGTGTGAGGTGTGACAGTCTGGGGGGGTGGAATGGCAGGCTAGTTTGGGGGGTGGTTTCCCTGGCACGGGGGGGGGGGGGGGGGGGGGGGGGGGGAGAAAAAACAAATTCTTCATGCTCCTCCTCACCACCCCAGAAGTAGCAACAGAGAAGGCCCAAGACTGCAGGCATAGCCAGTGAGATGACTCAGCAGATAACACCACTTGTAGCCAAGCTGACAACCTGAGGTTGACAGCTGGGACCCATACAGTGGGAGAGAACCAGCTCCTGTACTGTCCTCTAATGGTTACATATGTGCAGCGGTCCACTCCAGCAATCCCCCCAATATACATGTTTAAAAACAAAAGGCCCCAGGCATACCCTACCCAGAAAGACTGTGCCAGAAATCTGTACCTGCCAACCTGCCACCCACCTTAGCGAGCATGTGGGAAGTTACAGGTGGGGAGGAAGTGGGAGCCAGGACACTGGCTAGAGAGATTCTGCCCAATTCAGAGTTGCTTGGATGTTAGAAGGTGTTTCAGTTCCAGAGGTTCAAGAACTGTTTGGTGCCTGAAAATTCCCCTCAAACTCAACTCTATTCTTTTGTGCCAGGTAGAAGAGCAAAGAGGCCACATCTGAGAATGGAACAGCCTGGCCCTGCCTCACTCCAGCCCAGCAGCTCTTACTGTCATCAGAAACTGGCTCCGATGAGACCCCCAAAGCCTGCAGGTCATCCTCCAGCAAGGGCTTCTTGGAGCCCTGTCTGATGGGTCGAGTCTTGGCTGATGGGATCCTTTTTCCTATGATAAAAACAAAGCAAACCCAGTGTTGGTGACAGCAGGAAGTGAGGCACAGGGCATATGGATCTAGACTCCATTCTCAATACCCCTTACTGGCAGGTGCCTGAGGTTAAAGCAGTTGTGACTGCTAGTTTTATTTTTTATTTGAGACAAGGTATCCCTGTGTAGCCCTGGCTGCCCTAAACTCAATTTGTACACCAGGCTGGCCTCAAACTCAAGAGAGCCTCCTGCCTCAGCCTTGGAGTGCTGAGAATAAAGGTGTGTGCAACCACTGCCCAGCTAGATTTCTTTTCTGATGTTTGATTTACTTGTAATATGGCACAATCAGGTCCCTATTTGAACAGCAAAGTCCCTGTTTTGGTTTTGTCTCCTGCAGACGCACCTTCCTCTTCTCCCTCTGCCTGGTGGTGTGTTGTGGGATCACCTTATATAGCCCACAATCGAGGATGGCTTTGTCACCTGCCCTTCTGTCACCTCTTCTTGCAGCCACACTCAGCTGCTCCAGGACGCTGTGAGGAAGGAGCAGCCTTGGGAGCCAGGGTTCCTTTCTCTCTGTGCCTTTCCTCAGAACCCAAGAGCGACAGGTGCTTTGGGCAAGCAGCAGCAGGGACAGGACTCCCCGCTTCCCCTCCATTCCTCCCTCAAATCCCAGCCTGTTTGCTCAGCACACACTCCATTCCTGTATGTGCTCTAATCCCCTACGGTCAGGATCCCCTGGGGCAAGTTCCAGGGAGAGGAAACGCTAGACCACAGAGAGGTCTATGCGTGGCAGCACTTACTTTTCTTCCCAAATTGTTTCTTTTTCTTCTTTGTGACCTCTTTGCCCTTCAGAGGTGTGTTTGGTTCTAATGTTTGAAAGAACAAAAGACATGAGAAGAGAGTTCTGGAAGGACACAGGACACCTCCTAAAAGACCCTTGTCCCTCATATATGGGGCTGGGGGAGGGGCGTGGGTACAAAAGGACCCAGACTATGACACAGTGGGCAAGATGAAAGAAGGTGTTCTTCAGGCAGGGAGCGGGGTAAGAGACAGAGCATGCACTCTGCTTAGAGCAGTAGTTCTCAACCCATGGGTTGCCACCCCTGTGGGTGTTGAATGGCCCTTTCACAGGGGTCAACTAGACCATCAGAAAACAGATGTCTACATTAAGATTTATAACAGCAGCAAAATCAGAGTTAAGAAGTAACAACAAAAATAATTTTATGGTTGGGGTCACCACATGAGGACCTGTATAAAAGGGTCATAGCATTAGGAAGGTTGAGAACCACTGGCCTAGAGAAACCTGGAGACTTCTCAGTCTCATGCCAGAGGATCAGAAGACTATGCTGGGCATGGGGAGCAGCAGCTGGGCAGGAAGGAAAAAGACAAATTGTAACGATAACTCTTTCTGCCAGCAGCCTGAGTTCCGCCCGAGTCACATTAGGGCCCAAAATGACACACAGAGTATGATTAATATTAGTTACAATGCTGCTGGCCAATGACTAGGATTTCTTATTTGCTAGCTCTGTCTTAAGTATCAACCATAACCATTAATCTACATATTTTATAAAGACTTATTTTATCAAGGATGCCAGCGGAATGCATTGTCTCTTCCCTGGGATCACATGCGACTCTCCTCTTTACTACATTTCCCAGAATCTTCCTTTCCTAGTCCCTCCTAACTTGCTTCCCTATTGGCCAACAGTGCTTCATTTATCAACCAATAAGACAAACATATACACAGAAGGACCTCCCCCATCAACAGATGAAGAAAATTCAAGAGCTCTCAGTGTTGCCCTGACACCACCAACAGGGTAGATATCTGGGGATTCACAGTCCACCCACTGATCATACTCGTTATCCCAGCCATCAAAGTGAATGCTAAGGAGCCGATGCACCACTCTTTTCACAGTGGCCACACAGATGAGTCTGGGCTCCATCAAGTCCACAGCCTCCAGCTTCATGCCCACCTTGAAGCCATGGTTGGGGCAGTCCTGGTTGGGGGATGAAGGCAGTTGCCCAGCTGGCCAGTACTAGGCCCGAGTGGGCTCACCCAGGTAGGCAAGGAACTGCTGAGAGAACTAGGAGTGGGGAGAGGGACCATGGAGAAGGTTCCTTCAGAGAGCAATCCCACTGTACTCTTCTCAAGTGCTAGCCCCTCTGTGGAGAAGAGACTGGTCTACACTGTGGTCCCAAGAATCTACATGATCCCCAGCAGTAAAGACTTGAAAAGATGGGGTTGAAATTGCCACTACTGATGTCAATGAGCTGAGCCAGTCCCCAGGCTACCAGACTCCCTGACCTAGTACAGGAGTCTCCTCACCATGTTAAAGAGTCTTGCTGGAGCTGCCTTTGACTTGGTCTTCTCCAAGTAGGTATCCCAGTTAAAAGGCCGTGTCTCATACCCTGGAGAGGAAGGAAGAAGCAGAAACTAGGGAGAGGGTCAAGGGGCAACACAGCACACTTCGGGAGTCCCTGCAGCTGGCTGACCCAGCCTAGTTGGTAGCTGTCCTCTTCCCCAGGATGACATCCTTCCTGTTGTACAGGTCATGTACTGCCTCAGGACACATAGGAGTTCTGTTCACCAGCTGCCACACATCAGCCACGAGGCTGGGTCAGACAGTGGCAGGCGGAGCCAGCGAGATGTCTCAAAAGGTAAAAACACTTGCTATCCTGCAAGACTCAATAAGCCACACAGAGGAAGGACAGACCAACTACCACAAATTGTCTTCTGATTTCCATGCACGTACACATAAAATAAATGTAATTAAAAACAAAACAAAAAGCCCTAGAGGCGGGTATACAGAAATAGACAGCATTGTCATTAACGGTAGATGGCAGACCCTCCAGAGTAAGGTAGCTATGACTGGACATGAGGCAGGTGGATTGTTGAATTCTGTCTTCCACCAAATACCCCAAGATGTTTAGCAGAGTATCCAGCACTCAGGAATGTGCATTTGTGAGATAACACATCCTTTTTACTGGATGGCCAACCCATGCAGCTGGGACTGCACCTGCCTTGCTGCCTGTCACCAGGCATGGCTGGACACAGCAGGTTAGGCAGACAACCACCAGTGTCCTCAGGCTGCAGCAATGAGGAAGTTAGGAGCAAGGAGTTCAGCTGAGGCTTTGGGCATGCAAAGGAGATGCAAGTGGCAGGAAGGCCTACATGAGGGGATAGTATGGAGCCTGCACCTGACATGGGACAAGGCTTAGTATGTCTAAGTATGTCTCAAGTAAACTAGTATGTTTAGTATGTCTCAAGCCCTAACATGAAGGTAGGGTCTGAGTAGAAAGATGGAACAGTCTCCCTCTACCACATACAAGTTAAGTACAACAGGAGCAGCCAGGTCAGAGCCCCAAGAGCCTAACAGCAGGGGTGAAGCTCTGTGCCATCCAACCCTCAGATAGCCATGCTGGAGGAGGGAGAGTAGCCTAGGCTCACCTTGCAGATGGTTGCTACACAAATGTTGCCCAGATTCAGAGGGTCAATGGCTTCTAGTTTCATTCCTTCCTCAAACCAGCCACCTTCTGTGTAGACAGCTCGGACCTTAAAAGAATGAGGTGATTGAGGAGTCAGGGGAAGGTAGAAGAGGCAGGCTTCCAATTCTGCAGGCCTGGCATGGAATCAGAGGGCAAGGGACAGCCCTACTGAGTGTGATATACCCACCTATAATCTCAGAATTTAAGAGGCAGGCTGTGACAAGCCAGCCTGGGCTACAATGAGACCTTGCCTCAGTCTACTCCTCTAAAAAGGTCCTCATGTATGTTAAGGACTGAAACAATCTTTTACAAAAGAGTCAAGAAACAGTGAGAGAGAGCAGACAAGATCCTGCAGTCTGGGAAAAATATGGCCAAAAGGGAAGTACCCACAGGTTGCACCTTACCTTCTTGAAGAGGTAAGGAACAGCGTCACAGTAGATTTTCCGGAAGGTGGGGTGATGGGACATGTCACATCTTCTCTCTTGGGGAGATGGCAGAGAAGAGAGGAAAAAAAGGGAGTTGAAGACAGCCAATGGTTATCACATGCTTCCCCCAGAATTATGGAGCCAGGCAGGCTACCTTTGTTCTCAGCTGTGCCCCAGTCCCCCACCCTACATAGGAAAGCAGACAAGTCCAGTCCAGAGGGCCCTGGAGGACTATTCAGCACAGGCGATCTGGGCTCTTCCTTGCTGGCACTGTAATGGTAGCACCTGAGTTACATCTTTATTTTGCTATTGATTGAGCTGAGTGACCTGAGTCAAGTCACTGGGCCTCTCTGACCCTCAGTACTATCACTTGCACGGCATTGATGGTAGTCCATCTCATTACACTACTGCTGAGCTGAGTGACCTGAGTCAAGTCACTGGGCCTCTCTGACCCTCGGTACTATCACTTGCACGGCATTGATGGTAGTCCATCTCATTACACTACTGTGAGTTATAGCAAAGGTATTCCAACTGATCTTTAGGGAGGCTGAACCTGGAGTCACACTAGCCAGGGGCTCTACTAACCTGACATCTTGATGCCATGGCCAACACGCCGTGACCAACCCACTGGGTGGATCAGGGGACTCCACATATGGCACCAGAAGTCATCATCACTGTCACCATCCTCATAGAGGAGCCGTAGGCGACCCCCAATTACTGTGTCCACCACAGCCATGCGGGTCCGTGACACTTGGGTCTTATCCACAACCTCTAGGCGCATGCCCTGCCGAAAGGGGTATTTCATGCTTTCCACCATCTGCAAGGACACGAAGAGGCAATCTGCTCCAATCACCCAGCCCTTACATTCCTACTCTATCAGCAAAAGCTGAGTGTGGTGGCGAGCACACACCTTTAATCCCAGCACTCAGGAGGCAGAGGCAGGGGGATCTCTGAATTCAAGGCCTGCCTGGTCTACAGAGTGCTACACAGAGAAACCCTGTCTTGAAAAACCAAAGCAAATCAAAGGGCCAGCAAGGGAGAAATGACTCAGCAGTTAAGAACACTTGTCCTTCCTGAGGACCCAGACTTGGTTCCCAGCACTGATATGGCAGCTCCCAAGCTTCTATCACTCCAGCTCCTGGGGATTCAACACCCTCTTCTGGCCTTCAAGAGCCCTGCATGCACACAACACACATTACATGCAGGCAAAACACCCATACACATAAAATAGGAATAAGCACATTTTTTTTTTTTTAATGGGCCAGATAAGACAGGAAAAGGGCAATGGGATCTCAGAGACACGGAGCTTGCCTGTCTTGCCTGGGCCCCAATCACTCAGAACAGCAGAGGGCAGGCCTTCAGTTCTCAGTGTGTGCCCGTTTCTCACCAGATCTGTTAGTCAGGATGATGGGAATCCCAGAGTCTATTTCAGAGCAAGGAAACTCAAATGACCTAGAAAAGTATAGTCAGACTCAGTTCTGGTGTCCACTGGGCCTTTCACAGCTCTACACTGATCCCTGGGTAACTCACACAACCTTCTACCTCCTGGACCTCTGTAAATTGCACACACAAAATTTTTGTGCACCAGGTATGATGGCTGTAGTCCTAGCACAAATGAGGGAGAGGAATATCTGAGATCATAATGAGTTCAAGGCCAACCAAGACTATGTGGAAGAACTTACTTAAAAAAAAAAATAAATAATGCCGGAGCCGGGCGGTGGTGGGTGGTGGCACTTGCCTTTAATCCCAACTCTAGGGAAGCAGAGGCAGGCAGATCTCTGGTCTACAGAGTAGGTTCCAGGACAGCATGGGCCACAAAGAGAAACCCTATCTTTCTGGGGGTTGCGGGGGAGAAAGAAAGAAAAAAGTTAATATAGAGTTAGGATTGCGGCAGGGTTTTGTTTTGTCTTTCCAGGAGAATAAAAGCATCCAAATAAGGAATATGAAGACCATTGGATAAATAAGACATCTGAAGAAGAGGACAAATGATCCAGGGAAAATGCCCCAAGAAAATGAGTAAATTGGCATAATGGTATAACATACTTCCAACAGAAAAAACTTCATAAATCTACCAAATGTGCCAGGTGGTGGCAGTGCACGCCTTTAATCCTAGCACTTGGGAGGCAGAGGCAGGCAGATCTCAGTGAGTTCAAGGCCAGCCTGGTCTACAAAACTAGTTTCAGGACTAGGGCTATACAGAGAAACCCTGTTTCGAAAAAACAAAACAAAAAAATCTTCCCAAATGTTTGTTACTACTGTTCTCTATAGATATATAAGGCAAATAGTCTTTTTGTAATCACATCTCAATTAAAAACTAAAGCTAGCTTTGGAATTGGAGTGTGGCTCTCTCCTTCTCTAAATCCAGGCATGCTTGTTACAGGAAAATCCAAAGTCTCTGTCTTATGTAAGAAGAGCCACCTGGTATAGGACAGAAGAAAACCAAAATTAAGGGACTATTCTATTATCACTAATCTCATAATCCTTTGGCTTTATTCTCTTTAAAACTTTTCTCAAGGTATAAATATTATCTAGAAATTATAATATATATAGCTACCAAGATGCCTGTATCTAGGGTAAGGTATAGGACTTAAGATATAGGGTCAGGACACAGCTGGCTTAAGAGCAGAGCAGCTGCAGCCAAAGCCTGCTGATGCCGAGGCAGAGCAGGGCTGTTTTTCAGAAGGGAGTGATCTCAGAGGATACAGAGCAGTAAACAGAAGAGCTAGCCCACATCCCGCCACCAACCACAGATGACAGCAGCTCATTTAGGAGAGTGACACAGATCTGGGTTTGACTGTCATCTCCCACGACACAGGTCTGGGCTTGCGAGCCTTGGGCCACTTACTCTGCCTGGCCTTCTCTAACACATCCCTTCCAAGGCCCACAACCAAGCACACCTGGCTGCCTTCCCGTTTAGCATACCACAGGGGAGCTGAAGTTATGATGGACTGATTTCTTCCTATATTCTCAGCTCAGAGTCATGCACAGTCAGTCTGTTTAAGAAAATGCACAAGCCAGGCATTGGTGGCACACGCCTTTAGTCCCAGCACTCGGGAAACACAGGTGGATCTCTGTGAGTTCAAGCCTGGTCTACAGAGTGAGTGCCAGGATAGGCTCCAAAGCTACAAAGAGAAACCCTGCTTCAAAAAACCAAAAACCAAAAACCAAAAAAAACAATAACAACAAAAAAGAGAATGCACACACCTGACCTAGATGGAGTCATTTGTTTCAAAACATTACTGTATGCTGGGTGTGGTGCCAGAGGCAGGAGGATTAGAAATTCAAGGTGAGGCTTGCTGGACTGTTCAGTGAATAAAGGGAACTTTGCTGCCAAGTCTGAAGACCTGAGGCCAATGTCCAGGTGTCTTCACTTCTACCCATAAACTGCAAAAACACTTAAAAAATTTCAAGGGCAAGCCGGGCTTGATGGCGCACACCTTTAGTCCCAGCACTCGGGAGGCAGAGGCAGGCGGATCTCTGTGAGTTCGAGGCCAGCCTGGTCTCCAGAGCGAGTGTCAGGATAGGCTCCTAAGCTACAAAGAGAAACCCTGTCTCAAAACACAAAACAAAACAAAACAAAACAAATTCAAGGGCATCCTCACCCAGAAAGAAAGTTTCAGGCAGGCTTAGTCTATCTGAGACTGTCTCAAAAACCACCACCCACATACTATGTACTTTCTATACTGTAGGCAAAGGGCCAGGCCTGGAGCGTTCCCAACAAGCCTACCCCATTCTGCCCTACCACCCTGGTTTTCAGAAGTGCCTGGTGAAGTAACAGCCCAGTGCTTCCATTGGAAAGGCTTAAGCTGTGGTCACTCTATCAAGTCTTCTCTGAGGCAGAGATTTCCCAATGAGCCTGTCTGGAACTCTTGTGTTCTATCTCACATCTCATTCCTTCTTCAGTTGTCATCTTCCCCAGTCAGGGGCTAGCAGTCTTGTTCTACCTGTTGTCCCTTCCTATGTACAAAGTAAAATGGATCAGGGGCAGTCAAGGTTTGCTTGAAGACTTGTCCATGTGGAAAATGCCCATGTTCTTCTAAGTGTGAAGAAAGGGTCATCTCCTCGCTACACCTGGTGAACCACACTACCTGCTGTCATCTAATCTGCCTCATCTCCTACCCCACCCCCCCAGACAGGGTTTCTCTGTGGCTTAGGAGGCTGTCCTGGAACTAGCTCTTGTAGACCAGGCTGTTCTCGAACTCACAGAGATCCCGAGTGCTAGGACTAAAGGCGTGTGCCACCACCGTCTGGCTTAATCTGCCTCACTTGTTTTAAGGGCTGGGTGAGTAAGTGGCCAACTGCCCCAATCACTAAATCTGCCAGCCGTGCAAAGGGAAACAGGAGACAAAATCTCCACTTGCTAAATATAGAGAAAGCTAATATAAGAGAGAGGAACTGCAAAAATCCAGTAAGTACAAAAGAAAAATCACCTCTACTTTAAGGGGAGAAAAAAAGCCAAGGCATGCACAACTTGGAGCAGGTCAGTTTCCTACTAGCTAAAGAGACCCACCAGGCAGTTTTCCATCCATACCCACTACCTGGAATGTGACTGCCCCAATTTCCATTCCATCTTTATGTTTCAAAGTTGGCTTCCATACCATCTGAGCTCTGCCCAAGCAGATACAATCCAAAAGCCATAGTCTTTGGGAAGCCTGTTTGATAGCTGCTCCTCTGAGAACACAAGGCCAGGTCAACTGAGAGTTCTGGCAGCAAGCACTGTACGCCAAACGACCTGCATCCTGCTGGGAAGCCTCCCCAGCCTCATGAGGATCCCTTGAACCTCTCACTCAGGAGAGAGGTCTACCGAGGTGGGAGAGACCATGTAGCCTGGGATCCTTCCGAATGGTTACTCTGTACACAGACCTTACTGAGGTAAAGACCTAAGTAATGTTCTAAGGTTGTGTTGGTTTTTGAAACAGGATCTCATCATATAGTCCTGGCTTGCTTAGAACCTGCTATGTAGACCACACTGGCCTCAAATTCAGAAATCCATCTACCTCTACCTTTCAAGTGCTGGGATTAAAGGCATGTGCTACCATGTTCAGCCAAAGTTGCTTTCTAAATTGAAATGCTATTCCACACAGATGGTTGAACAGCCCCAGTTTAAATGGCAACTATTTTTATCATTATTTGTGTGCATGACTCTTACTTCTTCCACCAGGTTGGAAAATCTAGGCAGTGTATGTATGTATGTATGTATGTATGTATGTATGTATGTATGTAAACACACACACACACACTTTGTATTCCCATAGTACTTGCTTTTTGTTTTTTATAATTTATTCTTATAAATAATTTATACACTGGTATATTGCCTGCATATATGTCTGTGTGAGGGTTTCGATTTCCTGGAACTGGAGTTTACACACAGTTGTGAGCTGCCTTATGGGTACTGGGAATTGAACCCTGGGTCCTCTGGAAGAGCAGCCTGTGCTCTTAAATGCTGAGCCATCTCTCCAGTCCCAGTGCTTTGGTTTTTGATTTATTTTTATTATGTTTATCTGTATGCCATATGTGTGGGGTACTGGTGGAGGCTAGAAGAGGATGTTGGGATCTCCAGAGCAGGAGTTTCAGGCAGATCTGAGCTGCCTTATGTGGTGCTGGGAATTGAACTTAGGTCCTCTGGAGGACCAGCAAGTACTGTTAACCACTGAGCCATCTCTCTAGCCTCCCCCACCCCATTTTTGTTAAGACAGGGTCTTGGCTGGGTGGTGGTGTCACATGCAATTAATCCCAGCACTTGGGAGGCTGAAGCAGGTGGATCTCTTTGAGTTTGAAGCCGGCCTGGTCTACAGAGCTAGTTCCAGGACAGCTAGGGCTACACAGAGAAACCCTGTCTCAAAAAACCAAAACCAAAACCAAAAAATCAAAAACAAACAAAAAAATTTAAAAACTAAAATAAAAGCCGGGCGTTGGTGGCACACACCTTTAATCCCAGCACTCAGGAGGCAGAGGCAGGCAGATTTCTGTGAGTTCGAGGCCAGCCTGGTCTACAGAGAGCTAGGACAGGCTCCAAAGCAATACAGAGAAACCCTGTCTCAAAAAAACCAAAAAAAAAAAAAAAAAAAAAAGCTACAAGTTTACTAACATAATATATTCTAATGCTTAGAAAAGTTTCAAACAAGTCATTCTACGTCTCAAATGAGAAATCACAATGTTCAGTATTAAAAAGAAAAAAGGGCTGGGCGGTGGTGGTGCTCTTGGGAGGCAGAGGGCAGAGACAGGCAGATCTCTGTGAGTTGGAGACCAGCCTGGTCTACAAAGAGCTAGTTCCAGGACAGCCTCCAAAGACCCAGAGAATTCTGTCTCAAAAAACCAAAAAAAAAAAAACCAAAAAAAAAAAAAAAAAAAAAAAAAAAAAAAAAAAAAGAGCACTGACAACATTTCCCAGCACCCACATGACAGCTCACAATTGTCTATAACTCCAGTTCCAGGTGATCTGGCACCTAGACACAGACATATATGCACATAAAATAAAATAAAATATGAATAAATATTTTTAAAAAAGCAGGCTGAGCAAATCATGAGGAGCAAACCAGTAAGCAGTAATACTCCATGGCCTCTGCTTCAGTTCCTGTCCTGACTTCCTTAGATCATGGACTATGATGTGGAAGTAAGTGTATGCAGAATAAACCCTTTCCTCCCCACATTCCTTCACAGTAATGGTGTTTTACCAAAGCAATAGAAACCTAAGATACTTTTGAAAATGTTAGAAGAAAGGGCAAGAATCTGGGACATTTCAAAATCCAAAAGGCCAAGAAAGCAAGAGGATCAATGTGGTGGACCAGGGTCTTGGCAGGGAGGCAGGTAGCCACCCACCAGAGGTAGTTCTGGACTGAAGACTGCCAAACAAAGTCACAAGAGAGTACTATGATGGGGTTAGGAGCATTACTCACGGTACTAGTATATGGAAAGCCCTAGGTCCCACTCCCAGAACCACAAAAGCAAAATAAAACCCCTGAAATGAATCATATGAAGGATGGAAAAAAGTGGGAGAGGGAGGGAGGGAGGGGGAGGAGAAAGGGAGTGAGGAGGGGAAAGAGAAGGAGGAGGGTACAGAGGGAAGGAGGAGGGGGAGAGGGAGGAAAGAGGGGAATAGGGAGTAAGGAGGAGGAGGGGAAGAGGAAAGGGAGGGAGAGGGGAAAGGGAGGGAAGAGGGAAAGAAGCTGGGAACACAGTCAGACCTTGATGTGAAAATCTGCAGGAAGTGTCCTGGAGCCCACCAACCGCTTCATGAGGTAGCTCTTCCAGTCAGTACACTTGATGTGGATGGCTACAGAGACACAAGCACAAGCTGGTAACAGATTGACAGCACCTTCACCAACCCAGAGATCAGCTGGAGGGATGGAAATATTCAGTTCCACCACTTCAGGCCAGTAATGACTTCATCTTATAAAACCAGCCTCTAGGGGCTGTAGAGCTGGTTCAGAGGTTAAAAACACTGCCTGTTCTTCCAAAGGACACGGGTTCAATTTCCAGTCCCCCACTCCCCCCAGTGATTCACAACCATCTCTAGCTCCTGTACACATATGGTAAATAGACATTCACTCTGATATATATATGAATCCAAACTACCCAGGAACTTCTAGGGGAAGGAATAAAGGGACCTGGCATGGGGAACTTTCTCATTAACTCACTCCGTGGAGGCACCAGGATCTTGCTGTTAATGGCACACCAACCAATGGGGTGGACATCCACAGTCCCCAGGTTGCACCAGAAGTCATGACTGGCATCATTTTCAAAGCCTTCATATCGGAGCAGCACTCGGTACCCTGAAAGGAAGGGCAAGGGGACCTGTGAGAGGGAGGAGATGGGAAAGGCACATTCTCAGGCTTACTTCCTCCTCTAGCACCAGTCGGACTTCCTATGCTAGAAACTCCTTCCAGACGAGTGGGGTCCCTGATATCCAAACAAAACAAAATCCAGGCCACATACTTAGAAAGCATTCTGGGCTGGAGAGATGGCTCAGAGGTTAAGAGCACCAACTGCTCTTCCAAAGGTCCTGAGTTCAATTCCCAGCAACCACATGGTGGCTCACAATCATCTGTTATCAGATCTGGTGCCCTCTTCTGATGTGCATATATATATGGAAGCAGAATGTTGTATACATAATAAATAAAATCTTAAAAAAAAAAAAAAGTGTTCTGGTCTGGTAACTTCCTCTATACCCTCATTATCCCCAGAATAAACCTTAAAAATAAAAAAGAAACAATACCCTAGTTTTAAAGTTTGCCCAGTTCTGTGCTCTCATCTAAGGGAGGAGAACCTCCAAGAAGGGAGAGAAAGCTCGTGAGTGAGGCCTTGGTTTATGAGGCCTATTTTACCCTATGACACTACCCACCCACTTGATAAATCCCAGACCCTGCCCTGACCAGAGAGCAGAACACCAACCAGCTGCCTGGATGACGGAGGCAATCCAATACACCCGGCTGGGGAGCACAGCATCACTGTTGAGGACCTCTACCTTCATCCCCTTCACGACATCTTCCCACTGGTCATAAAGGGGTACCTGTGTGGTGAGGAGAGCATTGAAGGGCTAAGAGGAGCTGTCTCAGGCCTGAGCCATCATGTCTGTCCCCTAACCTTAACATCATACATCATGCACTGTGCAGAAGACTAGGAATAAAGAGGTAAACAAGGCATGTCCACTGTCTAGAAACGTGGGATGGCAGAGTGCCATCAAACAGAGCCATGGGAAGAGGGTTAGAGGCACAGACTTGAATTCTCATCATTACAGAGCCAGCTCCTAACTATCAGTATAGACACACTCTGCATCCTCACCTGTTATTCTGCCAGCTGTACAGCAGTGTCTAGCACAGAGACTACCCTCTTTAACATCATTCAACCTGAGCTTTCACACAGAGCCGGCAGGACACACACACTCATCCCAGCCCTTCCCAGCTTCCGGCTGCCTTACCAATGCCTAACCCTAGACTTGCTGCCAATGGTAAGTTGATCCCCTTTGGATCTTTCACTATCAGACTCAGCCTAAGCTACACAGGCAATAATCCATCTCCCAAGGCAGACAGGCTCACAGAGGCCTGGGGCAGCATGCAGTGGTCCAGGTACACAGGCAAGTTTTTTCTGTTTTGTTTTGTTTTGTCTTTTTTTCCGAGACAAGGTTTCTATGTGTAACAGCCCTAGCTATCCTGGATCTTTAGACCAGGCTGGCTTCAAACTCACAAAGATTCACCTGCTCTGCCCCCAAGTGCTGGGATTAAAGGCGTGTGTGTGTCCCACCACTGCCAGGCTCCACAGGCAAACTCTTTACAGGGCTTCTTTTATATTGTGTTAAATGTGACCTAATTTCCTTACAATACAACTGTAGGGAAAAAGAGAATGCTTTCTTCCCCTGCAAGAAAGACACATTAGCAACTCAGAGAAGGACATTGTAGGACTTAGGACCAACCTGTCATAGTTGAAGACAAGTGGACAATCCAGGAAGGCCAGGCAGCTGGCTCACTCTGCTCAAAAGAAAGCCTCAGGAGGCCTCTCTGACATTAGGAGACAGGACTGAAAGCCTAAAGAAACCAGGCTTGAGGAATGCCTTTAATCCCAGCACTCAGGAGGCAGAGGCAGACAGATCTCTATGAGTCCAAGGCCAGCCTGGTTTATAGAGCGATGTTCCAGGACAGCCTCCAAAGCTATAGAGAAACCCTGCCTCAAAAACAAAAAAACTGGTCTTGATGGCTGATACCTATGTGCCAGCACTTTTGAGACAAAGGCAGGAAGACTGCCCTCAGGCTAGTCTGAGCTATAATGTGAGACCCTGTCTTGAATTAAAACAAAAGACACAAAAATGAAAGACAAGACTGGTAGTACTGGCACATGCCTGTAATCCCAGGACTAGGACGCACAGGCAAGTGTTGTGCCAGCCTGGTCTACAAAGTGAGTTCCAGGATAGCCAGAGCTACACAGAGAAACCCTGTCTGGAAACAAACAAACAAATAAATAATAAAAAGACAAAAGACCCGCTGTATCATTCCAGGCTAGCACAAGGAACAGCTGCTGAGCACTATCACATTCTTGGCCACAAGCTCATCCAAATCAGCCAAACAGGACCCTTTATTCTTCAGGAAGAACCAGAAGGTAGTCCCCCAATGGGATGTTTGGTATTAGAAAGGTCCTCAGACAAGGGCTAAGGGTGCAGCTTGATGATATAAAGTGTGTGCAATCCCTAGTGGCAGAAGGCTGGGCATGGTGGCACATGCTTGTGATTCTAGCAGTTGGGAGGTAGAGGCAGGAGGACCAGAAGTTCAAAGCTATCCTCAGCTACATAGGAAGTTAGAGGCCAGCCTCAGATATATGAAATCCTGCCAAAACAAAACAAATTAGGGCTGGAGAAATGATTTAATGATTAAGAGCACTGATTAAGAGGACCAGGGCTTGACTCCCAGCACCTACATGGCAGCTCACAACCATGCAAAGAATTCTACTTTGGGAGGACCTGATGCCCTCTTTTTTGTTTGTTTGTTTGTTTGTTTGTTTGTTTTTCGATTTATCAAGACAGGGTTTTTCTATGTAGCCTTGACTGTCCTGGAACTTGCTCTGTAAACCAAGCTGGTCTTGAAGTCACAGAGTTCAAGAGTGCTGGGATTAAAGTGCTGTGGCCAGACACAAGCCACACCAGTGTCTGGCCTGGTTTTTAATGGGGGGGGGGAATATCAAAAATGAAAATGAAAAATGAAAAAAAGAACACCCACTGAACTCAAACCAAAATCCAATTGTGTAAATAGTATGTAGACACTTCGGAAAGCAGGATCAGTATTTATGCCTTCTTTCTTTCTTTCTTTCTTTCTTTCTTTCTTTCTTTCTTTCTTTCTTTCTTTCTTTCTTTCTTTCCTTCCTTCCTTCCCTCTCTCTCTCTCTCTCTCTCTCTCTCTCTCTCTCTCTGTCTCTCTATCTCTCTATTGTGTCCTGGAACTAGCTCTTGTAGAGCCACTATACCTGGCATATATTGTATAAGTATATTGTATCCCATGGGAATACAGTTATAGATGGTTGTGAGCTGCTATGTGGGTACTAGGAATTGAATTCAGGACTCCTAGTGGAGCAGCCAGTACTCTTGTCATCTCTCCAGCCCTGAAAACAAAGAATTTCTGGGGAATGGCCACTGTTCTCAAAGATGCTGTCCAGCCTGGCGCAGCTCAACTGAAGTGTGTGGGTAGCAATGTGGCAGGCAGCCTGAGATGTCCCCTGGCTATCCCTGGTTGTTCCTCCCTTATTTCCAGAGTACTCACGTGTTTAAAGCAGCTGACAGGAGCAGCCTTGTAACTGTGGTCCTTCAGGAACTTCCCCCAGTCGAACCCTAAGACCAGAGCTGCAGAGCACTTGGGTAAAGCTGAAGCAGTATCTACAGCAGCCATGTTAGAACAAGAACCTGGAGGCCCCATTGGGCTCTAGGAACAAGTTCCTTTATTACCACCAATGGCCATCAGCATTAGTATTCAGGCATCTGTACTGGCGTGTCTTTGAAGCTGACAGGATATGTCCTCAGCTGCAGCCACTAAGAGCACCACCTGGGCATATTCACTATGTTCCCTTTTAAAAGGGCCCTGCCCACCTCCCATCCTTCTCTCTTTCTTTTTCTCCCTCTCTCTGTCTGTTCCCCTCTCCCCCTCTTTCATTTGTCTTCTCTCCTGCTGCTACTGTTTTCCAAGGCTGGTCTCCCCACTTCCCCTTTCCCCTTTTTATGATCCATTTCCCTAATTAGAAAACAAACAAACAAACAAACCCTCTGCTTAAACCCTGTTTCATGGTGTCTTTCTCTCTCATGCAGTTTTTTTAATTGAATTACAACAATCAGAACTGCAGAGCAGAGGGGCATCCAAAGAGAAACTTCACTCTTCATGCTCCACAGAAAGAGGTGATTAAGTCAGATCTCATGGGATTAAATTCCTCCTCCAGCACATCTAATGGGCAAGAAGAGCAGCAGACTGCCCACCCAGCTGCACAGTGCAGTCTCAGCCTCTTGGAGGCTTTGTGTAATTTGCTCATCAATTGCTATGCTTAGAAAACTGAGAGGCCCCTTCCACCTGCTCCACATACCCTGGGAGTCAGAGCCATATAGACAGATGCTAAGTGAAATGAAGCAGCTAGCATTTGGTTTCTGGGTGCTCTCAGAACCAGGGAATTGAGGGCCACTGAAAGAAATGCCTAAGATCATTTCCACAAAAGTCAGATGGCAACAGCTCATGGTAGGCCTAGAGCCTCAACTTTACAGCAGTCCACCTTTCTCCCAGGCAAGGCTGTTTTCTGCCATGGTCCCTACCCCAGGGTTCTGTCTCACCATCTTGTCCTGTGGGTGTCCCATCTGCTAGCTGTCCTGTCCCCTGGGCATGAAGGAAGGCTCCAATTTTGGCAGACCAGGCTGCCTTGTGCAGCACTTTGGCTTTCTTGGTGGGCGGCTTTCCCTGGAGGGCAAGAAGAAAATCATACAGGCTGGCAGTTATGCATCAGAATCAGTTTCTGTTTTGCTTTGTTTCTTTGAGATATCATGGCCTGGAATTTGCAGCTCTCATGCCTCTGCCTCCTGATTTCTGAGATTCTAGGCATGCACCACCATACCAAGTGGGAAAGCAGAGCTTGGTTGGGACTGCTGAGGCCAAGCTCCTGGTCTTGGTCCAGCTAGTTAACTTTCTTTGAGCTGGAGTTTCTTTTGTAAAACTGCTGATGAACCAGGTGATGGCGGCACATGCATTTAATCCCAACAGAAGCAGGCAGATCTCTGTGAGTTCAAGGCCAGCCTGGTCTACAGAAAGAGTCCCAGGACAGCCACAGAGAAACCTGGTCTCAAAATACACACACACACACACACACACACACACACACACACACACACACACACACACACACTAAAATAAAATAAATAAAAATACTGATTATGAGAGAGAACACTCAGGAGATGGTTCCAAAAGGATGGGGTCAGTGGTGCTGCAGATGAGGGAGAGACATGCATGCATCATTCAGACCTTTGACTTCTCAAGAAGCCTCTCCCTAACATTTTCCTGCAGTCCTCTCCATGTTCCCAGCTCCCTGGAGAGCTACAACTGAGGGGCTGCAGAGCAGCCAGAAACTCTCCAAACCCACCAACATTTTGTACATATGCAAACATCCTCCAGAACATTATTGAGAGCTTTCATCAGGGCTCAGGGAAAGCTCACTCATACAAGATAATTAATTAAGCAACAATACAAAGGCCAGGAGTCCACCCAATATACCAGATAAGCAGAGTACACCTGCACTGAGGTCTGTCCCTAAAGCAGTGGTTCTCAACCCCTTGGGAGGGGGCGTGTCAAACAACTTTTTCACAGGGGTCAAATATCAGATATCCTGAATATCAGTCATTTACATTATGATTTTTTTTTTTTCGAGACAGGGTTTCTCTGTGTAGGTTTGGAACCTATCCTGGCCCTCGCTCTGGAGACCAGCTTAGCCTTGAACTCACAGAGATCCGCCTGCCTCTGCCTCCCGAGTGCTGGGATTAAAGGCATGCGCCACCAATGCCCGGCTACATTATGATTTATAACAGTAGCAAAATTAGTTATGAAGTAGCAACAAAATAATTTTATGGTTGGGGTCCCCACAACATGAGATATTGGCCAGGCCTTGGTGGTGCATGACTTTAATCCCAGCAATCAGGAGGCAGAGGTGGGCGGATCTCTGTGAGTTCAAGGCAAGGCTAGTCTACAGAGTTATTTCAATGACAGCACTACACAGAGAAACTCTGTCTCAAAAAATAAAACAAAATGAAATGGGGGGAGGGGAGAGAACCCCAGGAAGAACTGTATTAAAGGGTTGCAACATTAGGAGTGTTGAGAACCATTACCTTAAAGTCACCATAAATTTTTTTTTTTAAAGATTTATTTATTATGTATATAGTGTTCTGCCGGTATGTCAGCCTGCAAGCCAGAAGAGGTTACCAGATCTCATTATAGATGGTTGTGAGCCACCATGTGGATGCTGGGAATTGAACTCAGGACCTCTAGAAGAGCAGCCAGTGTTCTTAACGTCTGAGCCATCTCTCCAGCCCCATAAATTTTTGAGCCTTTCAAAATAGGAATTGCTAGTTGGGTGTTGGTGGCGCAAGCCTTTAATCCCAGCACTCGGGAGGCAGAGGTAGTCGGATCTCTGTGAGTTCAAGAGTGGTCTAAGAGTGAGTCTACAGAGTGAGTTCCAGGACAGGCTCCTAAGCAATACAGAGAAACCCTTTCTCAAAAAACCAAAAACCAAAACCAAAACCAAAACAAAAACAAAAAAATATGTGAACTGCTGGACGTAGTAGGCATACCTTTAATCCCAGCAATAGGGATGTAGGGGAGAAAGTTGTGAATCTGAGACCAGCCTGGTCTACATAGTGAGTTTTAGGTCAGAGCTACACAGTGTGACCCTGTCTCAAAATAAAATAAGGGGCCGGGCAGTGGTGGTGCATGCCTTTAATGCCAGCACTTAGGAGGCAGAGTCAGGCAGATCTCTGGAAGTTCAAGGCCAGTCTGGTCTAAAAAAACAGTTGCAAGGCAGCTAGGGCTGTTACACAAAGAAACCCTGTCTCAAAAACAAACAAACAAACAAACAAACAAACAAAAACAAAAACAAATAATTAAATTAAATAGGGGTCTGGTAAGATGGCTCACTGGCTAAGACTACTGGCTGTTCTTCCAGAGGATCCAGGTTGTTTCTAGCACCTACACAGTGGCTCACAACTGCCTCCAGGTCCCAGGGCACCTGACAGCCTCTTTTGGTTGGGGGGGGGGAAGGAGTGGGTGGAACTTTTTGAGGCAAGCTCTCATGTACCGCAGATGACCACTATCAATGAGCTCCCCAAACTAACTAAACTGTCTGCTTCCAATCATGTCATGGCCCAGCTCAGCATCTGGGACCTCGAGAAGTGTGTGAGTGGCTGCTCTCACCTGTAGTCTAGCCAAGATACTGGCTTTCTTGGAGTTGGAGGAGTAGCTCCTGGAACACGAGACGCTGCAAAACCTCTTGGTCTTTGAGAAGAAAGCATCCCTTGTGCCCACGATACCACACATCTCACAGACAGCTGGAAAGAGACCTTGACATAATCACTTTAAGTCGAACAAAACCACAGGCTCCTCAACCATGTGAGTGTTAGGCTTTAAGGCTGATAGAGTGAGAGGAGGAGGTGGTGGACAGTGTGTGGAGTTCTCTTCCAAGAGCAAGTCTCACTACCCTCAAATTTGTAGGTTCAATAGACCCTCTTCCATCGGCATCTCTAGCAGCTGGGACTACAAGTGTGTGCAGCTCCATCTAACCTCTTAAGATGATATGTGGTTTCCTTTGGCTCTGTATCAAAATCCAGTGCTAAGGGGCTGGAAATCCACATGAACAGAAACTGATCAACAAGTTTTAGAAAGAGGAAATTGATAAGAGAAAAGGTGCTGAAATCACTTAACATTTGCAATTCCTTGCTCTCACAGGGAGTAAGTGGACAAGCTGTGTCTGTCTGACCATATTAGGTCACTCAACAGTGCTGTGGCCTGGGCTCCAGTGATACAGCATCTAAAGTGCTTTCCCAGCTTCCCAGATGACAAATCTGCAGCCAGGGTCACGAACCAGCCCCTAGACTAGCTGTTCTCCCTAGTGATCCCTGTTAGTATTCAAGTTCTCAGATTTTGAGAAGGGCTAGAAGACAGCAGGGAAAAAGATGGGGAAAATGGGGGAAGGAGAAGCCAAGCTGATTGGAAGGAAATCTGACCCTACTGCCAAAGAGTACAAGTATGAAGGAGGGAGAGGTGCTGTCCACAGTTTGGAGCCTGCCTCTTTTCAAGGACATACTGTTCACACTCTAGAAGCCCTTACACAGGGTCTGTCAGTCATCCAAGAACCACCTCTTCCAAGTCAACTGGCTTCCAGAAGATCCTAGGCCACTACCTTTTGCCCACCTCCATACCTGCCCTCTGACATGAAGGTCACTATCCCTACAACTTTCCAGCTTGCAGCCCATAAGCTTAATGCACTCACATCGTTGAGTGTCTCATGGTCTTCACAACACACTTAGGGACTACCAGGTTACTCTCACTAAGGTAATGGCATCTAGATGTGCTGAACAGACACGAGGTATCAGAGAATTATACTGTGAAACTAGACCGCAGGAGAGGAAATGGCCTTCGAAGACAGTCCCTTACAAGACAGTCCCTCACACATCTATATGGCTCTGCCCACATTGCCTATGTCCATCCATGCCCGATTCCTCCACAGACTCCTGACTACTCTCCATCTAAGGACACTGTGAAGGCACCTGGCTCGGAACCACTTCCATCCAAGGAGCGGGTATTCCCAGGGTTGAGCAAAGGCAGAGGTGAGGTGGGAAGCTCCCCTGCTTCACGGTCTTCATTTTCTGCTTCACTTGACTCCTCCAAATAGGAGCTGCTCTCACTGCCTGCACTGCTGTTGTAACTCCGGAAGCTATCATAGCCCCCAAAGAGTTCCAAGTCATCATCCTCCTCTTCTTCCATTGGCTCTGAAGATGGCGTCTCCTAGTGGAAGAATGACATTGTTTAGCTTGGGAAGAAAATTTGCAAACCTGGTAATGACCCAATGTGGTTGGGGATTTGAACTCAGGTCCTCTGAAAGAGCAGTAAGAGCTCTTAACCACTGAACCACCTCTTCAGCTCCCTACAGGATATTTTAATATGGACAAAAGAGAACACAGATGGAGTTATAGCTGGATAAACCTACCATAAGCTAAAATATTATAAATTGAGCAGCTGGAGAGATGGCTCAGTGGTTAGGACCACTGGTTGCTCTTCCAAGAGGACCCAAGTTTGGTTCCCAGCACCTACAAGATCAATCATAACCTTCTGCAGCTGCAGTCCCAGAGGATCTGATGCTCTCTTCTGGCCTCTGTGTGCATCAGGCATGCATATGGTGCAGACATACATGCAGGCAAAATGACTATACAAAAAAATCTTTTTTTTAAAGATTTATTAAGTATATAGTGTTCTGTCTGCATATATCTATGCAGGCCAGAAGCGGGCACCAGATCTCATTATAGATTGTTATAAGCCACCATGTAGTTGCTGGGAACCAAACTCAGGACCTCTGGAAGACCAGCTAGTTGAAAATCTTTTTAAAATAAAAATAAAATGCTGGGTGGTAGTGGTACACACCATTAATCCCAGTAACTTGGGAAGCAGAGGCAAGCAGATATCTGTGAGTTCAAGGCCAGTCTATTCTACATAGCTAGTTCTAGGACAGCCAGGGCTAAACGAAATCCTATCTCAAAAAAAATTATATACATATTATATGCTGAAAATTCATTTAAGACATCTAGGAGGCCGGGTATCATGGTGCACACCTAATCCCAGCATTCAGTGGCAGACTCATCACTTTGAGTTTGAGGCCCACCAGGTGTACACAGCAAATTCCAGGTCAGCAGGCGTTAGATATCTCCTTTCTTTTTTTTTTAAAGGCTCACTTTCTCTGTGTATCCTGTCCTGAAACTCATTCTATAGACCAGACTAGCCTTGAACTTAGAGATCTGCCTACCTCAGTTTCTGGAATGCAGGGATTATAGGTGTACACCAACACTGCACAACCCTCTCTTAAGGAAAGAAAAAGAGGACATCTAGCCTACCTTAGCTTAACAATATGGTGCACAGCAGGATATTGGGTTGTTTCCCCTAGTGACTGCATGGCTAATTGCAGGCTGTAGGTTGTGCCTCTGCCCACCACCAACCTCTCATATGGGTAGCTTGGGTACAGAGCAAACTTCGAACTTCAAAGTACAATGTCTACTGAATAAATATTGCTTTCACGCCACTATAAAGTCAAAACATTATGCCAGGGATCAGAGTTCTATACAATAATGTGGAAATATCCCAAGCACCACACAAAGAAAAAATTTCCTGGGCAGAAGGCATTTGAAATCCATTCTTCCCTGTTCAGTATACGCACACCTGAATGATTTTGATTCAAAACAATTTTTATTTTGAGACAGGGTCTCTCTGTAGACCAGGCTGGCCTTGAACTCAGAGATCCACTTGCCTCTGCCTCCCGAGTGCTGGGATTTAAAGGCGTGTACCACCACCACCTGGCTCAAAAACAAATTTAAAGCTGGCAGCAGAGTACTCCTGCCACTGCCTAGCCCATTGTTCCTTGCAGTGTATTCAATAAACCTATTTCCTTCCTAAAAGGGGGCGGTGAGAAAACTGAGACTGGGACTGTCCCTGGCAGACCTGAGTAAGATGCCACACAGATAGTAGTAGTTTGGCAGCGTGTATCACAGCTTATAGGTGAGCTCTGACCCTAATCAGCTACTGATCCTTGGGTCATTTAACTTATGGGGACCTCAGTTTTCTCATCCATGAAAGAATACTACATAAAAACCCAAGGTTCAAATACCATCTCCAGTGCTTCCTATAATCCACAGCAAGTCAACTCCCATGGTCTCAGCTTCCAAAATGAGGACAATACCACTATTTAATAATATTTTGGGAAGAAGGAATGATAAAAGTAAAACAGTCAGAAGAGTGCTCAGTAAATGTTGGCTATTATTACTTTCGAAAAAGGAAACACACTTCAAATGCAAGGTGTAGTGGGTAACGGGCTGCTGTACCCCATGGAAAAGCATAGCAAGGTTTTGGGAACTGACATCCTTAGCGCCAACCTCTTGCACTTCCCAGCTGTGTCAACGTCCTGGGGGAATCCAACAGGCTGCTTGACCCCCTCCCTACAGAATATGGCAGTGCGTATACTGGGAGACAGACACGTAAAAGCTCCAGCACGGAGTAATAACCAATTTCTATTTCCCTTGACCTCCCGCGTGGAAGCGACAGGCCGCACAATGCCTAAAGCGCCGAACCACGAAACCAAGAAGACAAACGAATGCGTCAGAGTTTGAAGTCCAGTTCCAATGCCCCTGCATGGGGAGGCGTCTCCTCCTTCCCTAGACCCGAGCCCACAGCGTAACAGGAGCAAAAACGAACCCGGCTCGTCTCCGGTCGAACTAAACTCCTGACCTCAGTTTACCAATCCTGCAACTCTCCACCCCAAAGGCGTCGCTAAAACGGGGCGTCCGCCGAGTGAGGCGTTCGGGGCTCTCTTCCTCGGCAGGGCTGAGCCCCTTCCCTCTTACCTCAGTGCCCCGTGGTTTCTCCATGGTACCAAATTCAATTTCCTCAACCGTCACCAGGTGCAGGAAGCCATATTGCCCTCGCCGCTCACCCAGAGCGTGCTCATTGGCTACCACGCCTGATCTGCAGACCAATCACTCCGTAGGAAATAGGAAAAGCCGGTTCCGCGCTACCCGAACCCCGCCTCCATTACAGAGGGGCTGGGTAGCCCAGGCGGTTATGGGAGTTGTAGTTTTCTCCGGGGTGCTTCTCTCATCATCCTCTGTAAACCCACTTTCAATCCTTCCCAGTACCTAGGATGGACGCGTCCAGGCGCCAGACAAATTTTCGCACCCTCTCAGCTAGGAAGTAAAGGTGCTCTTCTACTAGGATGCCTAGAAGAAATGCCTAGTCTCTCTTTCAACTCAGGCAGGCAGAAACTGAATTTCTTTCTTTCTTTCTTTCTTTCTTCTTTCTTTCTTTCTTTTTTTTTTGGGGGGGGGTGGGGTGGGTTTCGAGACAGGTTTTGGAACCTGTCCTGGAACTCTCTCAGTAGACCAGGCTGGCCTCTAACTCACAGAGATCCGCCTGCCTCTGCCTCCTGAGTGCTGGGATTAAAGGTGTACACCACCATGGCCCCGCAAAACTGGAATATTCTTAATCCCTCTGTATGCTATAAATGCTCTGCTCGCTCAAAATACTCAGGCTGGGGCTGGTGAGATGGTTTAGCGTGCAATGGAGCTTGACACGCAAACCCTTTTACCTGAGTTCAAATCTATGAGCCCCTGACATAAAGATGGAAGGAAGGGCTGGAGAGATGGCTCAGAGGGGTTAGTTAGGAGCACTGGCTGAAGTCCTGAGTTCAATTCCCAATAACCACATATTGGCTCACAACCATCCGTAATGAGATCTGGTGCCCTCTTCTGGCCACAGGCATGCATGCAGGCAGAACACTACAAAATAAATAAATCTTTAAAAAAAAAAAAAGATTGGCGGGGCGGGGGTAGTGCATGCCTTTAATCCCAGCACTCCGGCGGCAGAGACAGGCAGATCTCTGTGAGTTCGAGACCAGCCTGGTCTACAGAGCGAGTTCCAGGACAGCCTCCAAAGCTACACAGGGAACCCCTGTCTTGAAAAACAAAAATAAATAAATAAAGATTGGAAGGAGAGAATCGAGTCCATGAAGTTGTCCTGACCTCCATATACACACCCACACTCACATCAAGCAAACACACACATGCTAAATAAATAAAAGCATAAGACTGGAGAAATGGTTCAGTGGTTAGTGGCTGTTTTTTCAAGAGGTCAAGGGTTTAATTTCCAGCACCTACATGGCAACACACAAACGTCTGTAACTACAGTGGATCCTTACCCTCTTTTCTGACCTCTGAGGATGACAGACACTAACATGGGGCATGCACACACACAACAAAACACCTATATACATAAAAATTATAATAATGATATATGTTATAACCTTCAAGCTAGGGCAAATGACTCAGGCAGTAAAGTGATTGCAGCTAAAGCATGGAGACCTTAGTTCTATCCCCTGTACATGATGGAGTATGCCTGTAATTTAATCCCAGCACTGGGTAAGCAGAGACAAAGGGATCCATCCACATGATTTTCTGGCCTGCCAGCATAGCTACGGTGAGTGACAAGAGATTGAAGATACCTGAAGTCAACTTCTATCCAACTCCAGTACACACACAGAGTCCTCACAACTTTCTGGGATCTCAAGGATTATTGTGTAGCCTCACAAACATCTGAAACCAGAGAAATCTAGCCACATCTTACTTCTCCTAGATCCTCACTCTCATCTCCTTACCTCTTTTTGTTGCCTTTTCTTAAAAATTTTGTTTGTTAGTTTTTGAGAAAGGGTTTCTGCCTGTAACAGTCCTGGATGTCCTGGTTCTTGCTTTGTAATCCAGGCTGTCCTTGAACTCACTGAGATCTGCCTCTGCCTCCCAAGTGCTGGGATTACAGGCGTAGCCACCCTCCAACTATTATAAATTTTTTATCTATTTATTTTACGTTTATTAGAGTTTTGCCTTCACATATGTCTGTGAACCATGTGAGTACCCAATGCCAGAGAAACCAGGTGAGGGTATGAGACCTCATGGAAGTGGAGTTACAGACAGTTGGGAATTGCCATGTAAATGCTGGGAATCTAACCTGGTCCTCTGGAAGAACAGCCAGTGCTCTTAACTACTGAGCCATTTCTCTAGATCATTGTTTTTGTTTTGTTATTGTTGTTGTTGCTATTGTGTTGACTTTTTTGTGTGTGTGAAAGAGACTTACTATGTATGTAGCCTTGGCTGGCCTGGAATTCACTATGTGGCTAGGCTGACCTTGAACTAAAAGAGATCCATTTGTCTCTGCTTCTCAAGTGAGTGCTGGGATTCAAGTCAAGCATCACCATTCCTGGCTTTGTTACTGGTTTTTAAAAAGCCTTTGAGCTGGGCAATGGTGGCATATGCTTTATAATCCCAGCACTGGGAAAGCAGAGGCAGGTAGATGTCTGTGAATTCGAGGCCAGCCTAGTCTACAGAGCGAGTTCCAGGAGAGCCAGGACCATTTCACAGAGAAACCCTGTCTCCAAAACCAAAAGGAAAAGAAAAAAAACCTGACCCCCCAAATCTATCTGCTATCCATAGTGCCTCACTTAAGAGTAGGAGCTCACAAACCCCTTCCCTCCCCATGCTGGGATGTTGATCTGCTTGATCTTATAGTAGCCCCAGCTGCTATAGATTCATAAATGTGATGTCATGTCCGGTCATGTCTGGAAGACATCGTTTAGCTCTAATCTCTGTAAAATTTACCAACTTACCCTGTGGTGGTAGCACATGCCTTTAATCTCAGCATTCAGGAGGCAGAGGTAGGTGCTTCTCTTGAGTTTGAGGCCAGCCAGATCTACAGAGTGTTCCAGGACAACCAGGGTTACACAGAGAAACTCTGTCTCAAAAAGAAAAAGGAAAACAAAAATTTACCAACTGTGTTTTGTGATCCCTGAGGCCTAGGTGGTGGGTGTTGTGTATTGTCCCATTTGTGCCTGAGCACTCCACTGACACTCAGTATCTGCAGTGTGACCAGTTTGAGTTTCTGCAAACAGTATTGGATTTTAGTGAAGGGTTTCTTTATTTTTTTCTTTTTTTTGGTGTTTTATTATTTTCAGGGTTTTGGTTCAGAGACTCATTATGTATCCCTGACTGGCCTAAAGGTTGTTTTGTTTGAGAGAGTGTCTTTCACTGAACCTGGAGCTCACCAATTGATGAGACTCCGTGGCCAGTAAGTCCCAGGGGTTGTCTGTCTCTGCCTTCCCAGCACTGGGATTGTAGGAATCTGCTGTAGGACACAGATTTTACAAGGGGCAGAGGATCGATCCCAGGTCCTTGTGTTTGCATGGAAAGTATTTTATTGACTGAGTTATTGTCCTCCTCACACTGAATGTTCACCTTTAATCCACATAAATGAGTTTTTTTTTTCTCTTTCTGGTGCTGGGGATAGAATAAACAGACATGCTAGGAAATAAATAGTTCAAATTTTGACTTACATTCTAAATCTTACAGGAGTGATGTGGTCATTTCCTTACCTCAAATTCCTAGCGGCCCGGCTGGAGAGAAAGCTCAATATTGAGAGCACTGGCTGTTCTTGTAGAAGAAACAAGTTTGTTTCACAGCACCCATGTTGGGCTTATCACAGCCACCTGTAACTCCAGCTCCAGGGGAATCCAACCTCTGGACTCTGCAGGCACTCGCACTCACACACACACACACACACACACACACACACACACACACACTATACATGTAATTAAGACTAAATTTAAAACAAAACAAAAACTCCCAGCAGTTAAAAGCCATGGCTGTTCTTCCAGAAGACCAGTGTTCAATTCCTAACACTCCGTGGCAGCTCACAATTGTGTGTAACTCCAATTTCAGAGGATCTGACACCTTCACACAGATATGTGATGATGTGTCTCATACAAGACATAAATCCCTTGAGCTCAGGACTAGAGAGACGGTGCAGTGGTTAAAGAGGATCTGGGTTTGATTCCCAGCATTGTTGTGTAAGAGTCTCTTCAAAGACTAAAATTTTCCATCCTTCAGGGAAGCTCCCTAAACAGGGAGGCCAACAACAACAAAATAACTTCAAGGGCTCCCTGAAACTGACCAGATTCAACAGGTCCCTCCCAGCAGGAATAATCAGAGCCCAGAGGCAAAGACAACTCTCAGACCAGAACAGCTGCCTGGAAGGGGTTTGTAACTGAGACACCTGGAAAGGACACTCTTCAACATGTTGAGTTGCCTGTAGACTATGCTGTGTGCTCCAGGGTCCCAGTTTTGTGAGCTGTCACCCATGCTAGGATGGACCTTAGTGATACAGCTGTCTTTGAGTCAGTTCTGCTCCTGTAAGCAACCCCAACAAAACTCATTGGCTCACTAGGTTGGACATCAGCAGTATCTGTACTTTGGTTTGTTGTGGTTTCCCTATTTGGGGAAAGTGGATGAGTGTATTTAACCTCCCCAGGAAAAGCTTTGTCACATATAAGCACTCATATAGTGGCTCACAGCTTGCTGTAATTCCCCATCTAGGGTATCTGATGCATCTCCTGGGCACCACATTGCAAATGGTAGCACATACATGCATGCATGCAGAATACCCACATGCATTTTTTTTTTTCTGGTTTTTCAAGACAGAGCTTCTCTGTGTAGCCCTGGCTGTCCTGGAACTTGTTCTGTAGACCAGGCTGGCCTTGAACTCACAGAGATCTTCCTGCCTCTGCCTCCCAAGTGTTGGAATTAAAGGCGTGGGCAATCACCCGGCAATCATGATAAATCTTAAAAAAAAAAAAAAAAAGCTTGCTGGACAGTGGTGGCACACACATCTTTAATCCCAGCACTCCAGAGGCAGAGACAGGCCTATTTGAATTGGAGACCATTCTGGTCTACATATTGACTCCCAGCCCATCCAGGGCTATATAAAAACCTATCTTAAACAAAAGTCCTAGCCGGGCGTTGGTGGCACACGCCTTTAATCCCAGCACTCGAGAGGCAGAGGCAGGTGGATCTCTGTGAGTTCGAGACCAGCCTGGTCTGCAAGAGCTAGTTCCAGGACAGCCTCCAAAGCCACAGAGAAACCCTGTCTCAAACA